ATCAATTCAAAATGTTGGGCATAAATATGTCTTCAGAACGGAAAGGTTAGGAGGTGCCATGAATCGCTAGAGTCAAAAAATATAAAAGGAAATTTGTTTTTCAAACTTCACTTGCGCGATTTCAACTGAACATCAACAATTTTACGTTTAATAAATGCTTACTGCGCCACCTAAATTTTCAATTGTCAGAAAGCTTTTCGTAAATAAGTTGGCCTCAAATGAACTGCATATATTGATAAATGCGACATATGCTGAACTGCAGCCAGGCACATTAAATTAAACAGGTTTTGTTTGGTCTCTATACTGTAAAATATTGTTAATTTTTTCCGCAAAAAATTTTAATTGGCAAAATGTGCATATGAATCTTCACAAAAAGCGATTGAAAACCAGCCTTTGGAATGTTCGCTTAACTCAGGAGCATAAACCTGATTAGTGGGCCCTGCAATAGGATGTATTGATGCTTACTTGAATGCAAACAAATTTACAAAGAAAGAAATTCACACCAATTTTAATTTTATTTTTTTTTTATTTCACATCGCTCACAATGATATTTAGAAAGTAGAATACTTTTTTTGACCATTTAGATACCAGAACAACAACAAAAATACACGTAAATGTTGCTTTTGCTACTACCTGTTTCATATGCCTTGATGCAGCCAAAAATTTCGTTGAAAAGACAAATTAGTCGACAAATGGGGGGTTCGATGAACTTTAGTTGGTGTGGACAGCACACTTTTATGATAGAAAAAAAAAACAAGATTGTTAAAATACTTGCCACGAAGAAACGTACGATGACAATGGGTGTAACCGTTGTTCTACGCTAGCTATTTACGTGAAAAAGCTTCCAATCGATCCAATTATTGTTTTTACTTTATCTTTGGTGATTTTTTCAATACCTTTTTGCTATATTTTCTTGAGTTTATGAACAATCGACAGTGGCATACATATATGATAGTTACAACAAAGCTGCTGATTGCCATTTAATCGTGCAACAGCTAATTGAAAACAAAGCACCGAAACAATTTGGGTCGCTGCGCCGTATATATCAATTATTTTTTTTTCACTTTTACTGTATTACGGGTTACTCATACAGCTAAGTTTCGGCAACGAGCAGCTGAAAATTTACTTAAAAGCACTTAACTGACTCAGCCGATCTGGACTGGTCGGTTTTGGATGGGGGGGGGAGTAGCTAGTTGGCGCGGGTGTGTTGCTTGCTTAGTGGTGGCGCCAAAAACAGAAGCCACAAACGCAAACTTGTTTCAGCTGATGCTGGCGAAAATAATAAAGCAAAGGTAAAAATTAAAATTTTCGCAGCAAAATGAAAGAATGGCAATGCGAAAAGCAAGCACAGGTAGCAATACGGACGACGAATAGTGTGAAGAAAAATTGCTTGCAGTTGCTGCTAAATGTATGTACGCAGCGTTCAATGCAGACGTTTTTCTGCGCTTAGGCTGCTGGCGTTGCCCGCCTTCAACGAACTACTTAACTAGTGGGCTTGGTGTAGCTGCCACTGTTGGCGTCGTAGCGTGGAGTGAGTAAATGAGGGAATGCAAAAAAGGTCAGCGGGTGAATGAACTGCCGACAGTCAGGCAGCCAGCAGCTAGTTTGCTCGGGCCCGAGATGCGGCATCGTCCAACTGCTACTCACTCAACTACGAGTACTACATATGCATATGCATATGTATATGCAGTCGATGGGGCGGCAGCCACTAAAATCGCAGCAGGCGAGCGATCAGCAAACTATCTGGTATAATAATCGTTTAATTTCGCAAATTCACGCATTTATGGTTAACGATGGCGTGATGTAAATTGTGAACACCCCATATTGATGGTCATAGCCTTTACTCTTTGAAGTCGATCCGCCTCCCAGGCGCGTCACAGGTCCATCTTATGGATCTTAACGCCTAGATTCAGCCAAGTCTCAGATTATAGAGATAAAGTCGAGCTAAAGTCCCCGATACGTACTTATATGTCACGGATAACCCAAGTAATATATAATATCCGTTCATGGTATGCTCTTTACGAATGACAAGCAGTGGATACCTCGATTATCATTAATCGATCACCCCGTTCAATGTCCTCTCAATATTGCCGTATGTAAGTTCCGCCTTGAAAGCCACTACTGCAGAAACCAGTCGCTTGCAAATTTTCGTAACCAGTTGGCTTAGAAAGATACTTCGAAATTGTCTCCTAAAACAGTCGCAAATGAGGAGGCAGAAAGGATAGGAGGCTTCAGCCCCTTGACATTAGGATTTGAAGACAGAAATGGAATGGCTATCCCGAGCCCACAATTTGCGCAAAGAAAATGCCAGAATTTCGAAGAAGGCCTCGGAATGGAATCCCTTAATCGGCAGACACAGGCCTCCTGGCAGACCGTGCTAAACATTTGACCGAGGTTCGCCCATACTCGGCATAAGGTGAAAGGAGCTTATAGCGATTTTCAGAAACCGAACCTGATGATGCGCAGGCGTAGAAGTTTGAAGGTTCAAGTTTAAAAGTTGATATAGATTCCCTTTAACCCATATGTTTCTCTTTATCAAAATATTAATCGATCTAATAGGTTAGATTAGGCTGCGGTGGTTCCATTGGCCCGCTTAGGCCAAGTTATACCATTGATACCACTATTATTCTCTTAATTTGGCCGTAATGTGTTTTAGCTGTAGTGAGGCTAGATAGTGTTGAACACTCTCCATCCATCTAATCGTATTTATAGTTGAAAAAGATCATTGAACGGGAAATCTATCTCTCTACTGTGCTGTTTGAGGAACGTTTGAAGTATAAAAGTTGCTTTCTCACTGAAAATCAATGTAAGTCGATGCTGAAAGAAATATAGTGTTCACCAAGAGTAGTTCGGTTTTCTTCCTGGCTACTTTGCCTGCGGTTCCCTTGAGCTTGAGCTGTGAGCTTGCACCAAGCTACGCATTCGAAGCTCGCTCACTTGGGTCCTTCTGTAATCTATAGCTATTTTGAAGCTGATGTATATGTAGTAGTTACATATGACTATAAGAATTTGATGGGCTGCTTGACGGCTGTCAGAATGGATCGTAGTAGACCACACAGTTGTGTCATTTTGTGCCAAACCTGCCGGCTTCGGTTGCTGCTGTTAGTTCGTCCTGTAGCGATGAGGCAGGCATAGACTGACGTTTATTAAGAGTTCTTTGTAGTGAATTCCACTGCCTACTCTTCCTGCCTTCTGGGTCTAGATTTTCGGGTTCCTCGGTAGATTTGTTTCAGTCGTGATGTGTTTCATTTTAATGCAAGTCGATCGAATCGTTTCTCTTAATTTCGGTAGGCAATTTCTGGCGTGTCGAAATTATAATAGATCTGTAAAGCTGGCAAACTCTTCATTGAACTGAGTCGCCTTTTAAAATTTGTTGCCACAGCATTGCATTGTACCTGGTTCTATGTTAGGGGGTTAAAAATGGGCTTAGACAAAATGGGCGTGGCACCCTCTACAGCTGTGAAATGTTTGCCCTGCTATAACTTTGGAACTGAATATGACATGAGATTAATATTTAGCCCACTTTCAGACATGTCAAGTTTTGCTTTCAAATCTGCTCCTTCATAGGCGAAGGAGGTGAGAAGAGAGGGGAAGAGTATAGATAGCTCCGTACCGTCAAGTCGTTTCAAGTTTTTTGTCTCTTGATATTTTCGTTGCTTCCCATTTAAAAACCTAAGGACTTGAATTCAATAAAAGTTGGCGCGTGTAGAAGCAAATAGAAAATACTAAAGTGCCTGAAAGGGGCTTAGTGCGGGGACATTACTAAACTAGGCACTTATTAGTAAACTAAAAAGGTATGAGAGCCGGGGTACAGTGAAATACCAGGATATGAGAGAGCAGACGAGCGCGCTTCCATTCCACTTTCACCAGCCTGAAGAAGGATAGGTATACCACTCACTTCCTGCAAGCTCTTACTAAGCAAAAATTTCCTTAAAGAAGCGGATACCAGATGGAAACATACTGACGACACCTTTAATACAACGAAGCTGATGTGGCCTAAATGGCTCGTTCTCCTCTGCGTTCGATTCTTTAAAAGCGTAAATAGTTTACCAATTATGCTATTTTTACTATCCCTTAGAAAAACAAGCCGACGCCATCAGTTTATTACCTACTCACATCCTGCACCACCCAAGCAGCAATGGTCAAAAAACTGCATTGACCCAATACGCATACAATGAACTTCGCAACTCTGTCGGCGCCGGACGAAAAAAGCTCACTTTAAATATCTAAATTTGTAATAGGAAATTTATGTATGTATGTTCAAACGATAAAAGCTTTTGGCGAAGCCCAGAAACCGGCTGCTGCTGCAATTTGCAACAACCCACGTTGCACATGCGACCGCAGGCGGCAGGTTAAAACAACCCAACTTTCATTCATGCGTCCCTGCACTGATAAATTTAGCCAAAGCTGCGCATGCGAATGAAAGAGTGAGCGACTTGAACTACATTGTACTACTCCTTCGCGTTAAAAAGTCCTGAAATTGCCTTTGCCTTTGGCGCTTCGCTGCAGTGCTATTTGAGAGCGCATACATAGGGTGGGAGTTGCAGCGTTGCAGGAGGCTTGCTTGTATGCGGCTATAAAATTAATGTAGCAATGTTCGTTTGCACTTTTACTTTCGCTTTTCAATAACGACAACCTTAGCCTAGCATTGTTGTGGTGGTTGTTAATGGCGAAAATTCGCCAATTGAATGAACTAGAAGTGGTGTGGTGGTGTGAAAGGAGTTTGGTCAATTTTAACTTTGAATTGTTGAGAGGAATTCGTACATACATAAGGATGCACGTACATATGTATGTACATACATACATAGGCACATATTATAATTATGTACATTTATGCATAGTAGAAAGATATCGATTGAAATTTAAAGTAAATAGTACTATGACACTAGGAATACTACTTAGTAATAATAAAAAATAAACATATGTTATTTAGACTATTCTTAATCATCCTACCTAATCAACGAAAACTAATTTTTCATTCTCTTTTTTTTTTATTGCAGAGGACGTAAACGTTTTGTCTCCGAAGGAGACGGTGGCCATATTAAGCCACAAACTATTCCAATTCGTGACTAAAAAAGAAACAACAAAATTATAATTAAACGCAAATACAAAATCAACAACAACAAGCACTTTTTAACCACAAAATAACTGCATTCTTTCTACAAAACAAACGACAATTAAAACAAAAACAAGAACTACACAATACAACTATAGCCAACAAAAAAAAAACGGAATAAAAGAAAAATGAAAAAGTTTAATTAGTATCAACTTTAGAATCAAGTGAAAACTGTGAGGAGAAATTGACACCGACCAGCAGCAAAAAGGAAATGCCAGAAATTTAACTAACTATTTCCAAAAACCCTCATTTTCTTCATAAACTCACCCACAACCGAAAACAAGAGTATAATATAGTGTATTCGCAAATAAACCGCAACAAAACTTATCAACGAAGAAGGGAAGAACCCTGGAAAGCAAAAAAAAAAAACAAAAAATTGACAAAAAATCGACGACAACCGCAAGAAGGCCACGAACTTTACATTTATTGGTACTTGCATCAGCTTTGTTTCAATTTGAAGAAGATTAACGAACCTTCCATGTAACTATTTGTTAGTAGCATTAGCTCTATGTATGTAAGTATGTATGCAGTAAATAGTTGGAGCATAAAACGCAATAACCAATAGATGGCAAAAACAAAAAAAAAGAAACACAAACGAAAATAACTGCAAAACTTGGAACAAGCAGTAAATGCGCATACATACACAAAGCAACAATATGCAAGGCGTAATCAACAACAATCAATCAATTTTACTTGTTTCTTATTACTATCCACAAAGCATGTTTTAGTAAACTGCTTTTTTTACTTTATACTGAATGTAATTTTTAAGTTTTTATTGCTATGATTTGAATTTTCGCAAATTTATTGTACGCGTCTGCTGAAGTTTGACTAAAACGAATTATCGCATTTTTTGTTTGTATAAAACTTTTGTAGAAAAACAAACGAAAAAATGCAAATATTATGCGTGGAAAATTGAGTAAAAACTGAAAAATTGTAATTTGTGAAATAAAAACAGCGTAAATGATATGAGTATTGTAAAATGAAAATGTTTTGCTTTTTATATTTTTCCTCTTGATAGTGGCGAAACAAAGCAATTTAATGTTTTTTTAGGCGAAAATGTGAGAATACATTTCTGCAAAAATGCAAGCCAATTGGAAGTTGATACAAACATCAATTAAAAACATTGAATAACCGAAAAAATATTGGCATTTACGCTTGAAATAAAAAGTCGAAAAATGAATGCATACTAACGAAATAATTTGGCACAATCAAATCTGGTTTGCATAGTGAGCACACCCCAGTAGATAATTTCAGGAGTTAAAAGCCCTTCTGAAAGGCCTTCCTGAGAGTTAAGAGGCCTTCCACTCTACATTCATTTCTCCTTTCTTTTTTATATGGAGTGGCACAAATTGAAGGGCTTCTTCTTTCGCTACCCATGGAAGGCCTTCCAGAAGGGCTTTTATAGGACGTACTTCACAAGGCCTTTTGAAGGATTTCTTTTAAAGTTTCTTCTTTAATTTATAAAAATCATACATTTTTAAAGTATTTGCATAAGGTTTATATCAAATATGTGTTATTGCCACTTAAAATGTTTATTAAAATTCGTTTGTAATGCCAAATAATAAAAATTTATGCATTCGTGTAAATTGTAATTGGATAAGCCCTTCTACATAGAAGGCATGCAAGGAAGCACTTTTTTCAGCCCTTCTTAGGTAGGCCTCAAAGAATGGCTTTACTTAAGAAGGCCTACCTAAATTATCTTCTGGGATACTGCGAATGCAAGTGCAAAAAATAATAAAATGCGTACATATGTATATCTCAAATTCTGCAGCGAAGCAAAAGCTACCTACATACATATATATGTGTGAGATTTATGTAACCAACATTGCAGAGTCTTACGAATGAATTATACATCTCGTTGATACTGCAAAGTGTTCTATGCCAAGTACTACTTCTTAAGCTTAGATATGTGTTCTCCAAATCTGAACATTTTTATTAATCGTTGAATTTCATCGGGTAGAGGTGGAAAGTTTTGTCTTTGGTTTATGATTTTAGAGAGATTTACAAATGCGTAAGCACAACAAATAATAATTGGCACAGAACGTTTTGCAATATCAGCGACGTTATATATTTTGTAGCAAATTTTGTAAATGCATGCGCACAATAAAATTAACACTTTTGAATAATATGTTCAGAAGCGGTTAAACGACGCGTTTTTGTACAACTAAGCTAAACTGCACACCATTACAATTTTACGTACATTTTGTGTAGCAGTTAGAGAAGTTGGGCAAAAATAATAGAAGCAGCAAAAAAAATAAAAATCTTGTGTACATTCGTTTTTCAAATTCAATGAAAATCTACTATTGTTAGAGATACAAAAAGAAGTAATACACATTGTCGCTAAAATGCAAAAAGTCGTAACTTATAAAAATTCAAAATTCACTTTTTCATTAATGTGATGGATTTCATCGAATTTCATCTCCCCACATCGTTCTATGAAAAATGGAAAATATTTGTCACGACTTTTCCATTTCAGTGACGATTTTTGTTACGTCCTTTTGCTTTTCGGGTGACGATATGTACTTTAATATGTATTTGTGTAAGAATGTTTTCTCATAAATTGTATTTTTTACTAAACTCTGGGAAAATTTGTAAACTTGTGCGAAACGTTTAAAAACTAGTATGACACTTAGAAAAAGCGTTGATAGAAAAAAGAAATCGCATGCGAGTATATTTTTGTGGACATAACAAAGTAAGGAATTTCCGAGAGTAGTTTTTTATGCTATTTGCTGGATGGATACTTTTAGGCGTTGAAGTGGAAATTAGTGTTAGCTGTGTGTTTGTTTATGTATTTTTACTTAAAATAATTTGTGAGTCTCAATTGTAAACCAAACTCAAAGAAAATTTGTTTGAAATTAGACTCACATTGAGGCGGAATACTTTAATAAGCATTTATATATTTTCATATTAAAACGCAACTTTTCGCCAACAACAAAGCATGAATATATGAACAAGTTTCGACTTCAAAGACTCAATTGCGAAAATTTATAAATTTATTTCCAACTTACCGGCAACTGTATGCACTACTTTAAACAAAAAAAATATGGGAAAATTAACATTTAAACTCAAATTAAAAGTAGTGGAGCTGAGAAATACATATCGAGCTAAACGCGAAAAAAACGTTAGTGATTTTTTGTTTGTTTTCAATATCTTAATTTCTCCATCAATCATCAAAAAGAAATTTTTTTTTAAATGTCGCTAACGTTGTTTTCGCGGTTATCGCTCGATATGTATAAAAATGATAATCAAAACGACCAGCGTCACACAATATTATTTACTAAAGCCCAAAACTTACTACACACATTTTTTTTCTTTTAGAAAAAATGCAAAATTTTGTGACGATGATATTTGGCTTACGAATGAAAGAGAAAAAGGATAAAGGGGAGTATCGCATCGCATCAATGTTGAATACAGCATTATAACGTTGTAACTTTTTTCAGTTTTGGAATTTTCTTTTTTAGATTATATTACGATAAGGAAAATTATGCATAATTAAATTAAATAAAGTTTTGAATAGAGAATTGGTGGCTTTTTACCTCAATTTAATTATTAAAAATATGTATCTTTAAGAATTCGTTTATTTAATTTTCAGAAATTCTAAATTTTTTCTCCATATGCATATTAAAGTAGCGAAGTTTAATCATTAGATGTATAAAATGTTACGCTACGCGTAGCATTTGTTTTTTGCATACTACTACACACATATAAACGTACTATAAAACTTACTACTAATTTTAAATTTTAATTAAACGTTATTGCTATAAATTTGCATAAACATACATATAAACATCTTAAAATATATATTTCATACAAAATTACCTACCAAGTAAAAGAAAAAATAAATAAAGTTCGTACTACATATTGCAAATATTGAAGAATTAAACAAAAAGTGTGTTTTTATTTAATAGTTTTAATTTCCTTGCAAAGGATGCGATAGTTATGCCATGAATTGAAAGGGTTTTTCCTTAAAAAGTATATAAGGGAGTACGAAAATACCCGGATTTATTATGTAAGTAATTTTATTTCCTTTTGATTAATTAAAAATTAGAGTTTTTTTTGTAATATTGTGTAACGCTTGTAATAGTGATAATGGAGACAATATTGTCATCTTTGTCTAAAATAATTAGTTTATTAGATCCTTGCGTCAATAGATGCTAACCCGTTTAAAAAAATTTCGCATTTCCGTAGAAAGATAATCAAGGCTATCCGAATCCTTCGTAGTCTGATTTTTCGGAGGATTCCGAAAATGCGAACACTGAATTCGAATATCTACGGACGCATGAAATATATTTGAATGCATCCGTTCGTTGCGAATCGTACTACGACGGATTCAATAATAGCCCCGAATAAAGCAACAAATTAAGGCAACAACCAATGATATCCACGATTTTTTGTGACGATAAAATGAGTAGGTTGAATGAGGATGTGCCGAATGAGTGTCCGGCATGCGGAGAGACCCCACATGACTCGAAACATCTCTTCGCATGCCCGGAAAACCCGACAACCCTAACGGCCTTGTTCCTGTGGACAAACCCCACAGAAGCTGCACGCTTCCTAGGGTTGCCGTTAGTGGAACTTGACGACGACGACTGAGATACCAACCGTCCTGGGCGGGGTTGTTGTAGCCGCTACAACAACAACAACAACGATTTTTTGTGGTCAACTAAAACTTTTTATTTTGAACAAGCGACGACCTACCTAGTAAAGTTAATTTCAGTACGTTGAATTTAGTGTTGATAGTCGCTTTCCAAGTTAACTCAGGTAATCAAATTTGAAATTTTACGATTTTCGATTGCCCTGAAAATTCGTATTGGATGGTTTCTTGGTGCAAAGAATCCCAATTTGACATTATTTTTGCGCTCCAACAAATATTTAGTACTGCTTTCATACAAAAAAAAAAAACATTCGAAAACGACCAAAAACGTAGATTTTTTTATGTAGATGTCCCAAATTTTGTTGGAAATACATTTTTTGGTAACTATACGTTCCTAAAAATTTAATCGCATTCAGCGAAGAAAACATATGGTGAGAGATTTCACCAGATAACAGCAAGTCTGGAAAATTGGTATAGTGGAAAGAAGCTTGTTGATCTATTGCGAGAAAATTTTTGGAATTTAAGAGACGGTAGTGAAGATTAATATGATTGAAAAATTTAATTGAATTTGAAGAAAAAGGAAACAATTGAGCTTCTCCGATTTTATGCGTGCGGCTTGATGTTGTCACATAAAGGGAGGGACCTACAGTTTTACGCCGACTCCAAACGGCGATTGTATTTTTACAAGGAAATTATATATTTTTTTCTTCATTTCTACCAATACCCTACCAGGTGCTTTCTTTGTTTGTTTTTCCATTCAAATATATGTATAATCTAACCAAGTTTGAAAAGGTGCCAAATCCACTTTTTTTCGAAATTTAGTTTTTGGTGTAGAATGACAAATATTGCGAAATTACATCAATTTTTTGTCTCTCCTAAACAATTTAAAAACAAAAAAATGGACTTGGCACCTTTTCACCTTTAGGTAACGATATGTTAGTGTTTGGCCGAGCTTTTCTCCCGATTTATGGTGTGCGTTTTTATGTGGTCACACAAAGAGGAGGAGCCTACAGTTTTACGCCGACTACGAACGACGATAGTATTTTTACGAGAAGCTATTTTTCATGGCAGAAATGAACTCGGAGGTTTGCGTTTGCCTGCCGAGGGGAGACCTCAGTTAAGAAAAAATTACCATAAAAAATTTAGGAGCTTTTCCACAAAATGAGAAAATTTTTTTAGTAGTAGGCATATTTTTTCTTCCCCGATTGTGATGCAATTTTTACAAACGTATTTTCATCAATAAATAAATAAAAACAAAATGTATTTCCAAAATAAAATCAAATTCGGGTTCCTCGCAAAGAAGATACCCTTGAGAGCCATGGAAAGGAAGTAAAACTGCGCTGAAAAAATGGGTCTTGCCTAAAAAAATAAATTTTACGTATGTAGGTATAAGACTCGATTAAATGACCCAACCTAGAAAAATAACTATCAACACTAAATTCGGCGTACCCGAATTGACTTTAGTAGGTAGGTCGTTGGGTTGTTAATTTTTTCAACAAGCACAACGTAATCAGCTACCATGTTGATCCGCATTGACTTAGCGAACTCCAAATACCTGCCACGATGTATCCGGCCACATTATTCATCTTTCGCTTCGACCAGTATTAAAGTGTCTAAAAGATTTGCTATTAATTTTTTTTAATAACTTAGCTTCATCATTTAAATAATAGTACTTAAAATAACGTCCACATTGCTAGCAAGCCTTACATCCGCATTCGTTGAGTGCCGCCCTGCATGCCAGCCCCTGCATTTTGTGCTGTCGATGCTCCGCCACCACTCGCCACAGGCAGCACATTTTGCTTGCGATAATTTGTAAAACTTTCCAAGTATTGATTAATCGTATCGATTGGTTCATATACATCGTTTTGTTTTTGATGTATCTGCTGTTGACCCATAGGATTCATTATTTGCTGTGAAAAATAGGCGGGATATTCTTTTGCAATTTGCATGCCTAGAAAGCCTTGCAGCATTTCACGTATCATTTCCCAGCAATAAGAAAGCACCACACACGGTCTATATTCGATTTCAATGAGTATGCCTTTGAAATTCTCCATCATTGTTACCGAACCCAGTTTTATAAGAAAATCACCGTATTCGAAGCGCGCACCTTTCGATTCGATTTTCGTTTGCTTCTTCGACGTGTACACTGTAGTCATTTTCAGCATCAACAAATCGAAGAGGTTGTCTGCTACTAGCGGAATTTGCTTGCCAGCGCCGTTGTCTAATATGGAAAACGTGGATGCTGGATATTCGGAATCGTGAAGCACATGCACGGTTTTGGCTGGGCCATGTGGTGGTGTGGAAATGTAAGTTTCGCAATCTACTAGGAAATGTCCGGTATGAACGGCGCCCAATGCCAGAAGGCGTTTCGTGAGGTAGTCGATTGCTTGTGCGCCAGTTTTCCCCTCTGGTATCTGATATGGCAGCAATACAGTGACACCCATTGCGAAAGACTTGAGGTGTTAATTGAAACAAAAATATAGTTGTTATTTATTGTTATGCTGTAAATCATTTTATTTACCTTTTGCAAATTCTTGGCCGGTCTGTTTGGATTTACAAATTTACATCAATAATAGTGATGTGCTGAATTGTCGGTACCCAATACTCGGTATCCAATACTTCCTTTTCGGTACCCAATACCGATTTTATACGTAATTGCAACTTGTTGACATACTTTACAACAGAATATCTGTCGAAAGAGTTACATCGACTTTATTTCGACTATGAATATGATTCACAATTAATACGATTAAGAAGATGTATTCCCAAAAGTTGAAGAGTTTGTACTAAGCAATGTGGAAACCACATATCAAAACACTCTCATCGCCGTCTTGATATTGCCGCAACAGTAAAATAACATTTTATCAGTTTCCACCTTCGTAGATCTAAAATTAGAAAAAATGCTTTGTCGAATGAAGGAAGTCTTTCAGGCCTACAAAAATAATATCGTCCGATTCATCTAAAAAAAAACACGCTTCTCTGCATTGTGGCGATGGAAAATGGAAATAAAGACCTCAATTAGCCCCTACACTTGCTTTTGATAGACTTGACTCCCCTAAACCGCTTTTATTGTTGGTCTACATGGGTTCTTATTGAAAGCCTAAACGTTTCGGTACCGAGTTTCGATCAAAACATCAAAGTATCGACTCATTACATCACTAATCAATTATCTTGCACGCTCCCAGCTGTTGTATAGAAACAGAACAGAACGGAACATAATGAAACACAGCTTGCGGCAAATGCCTAATAACGCATTTTTTTATAATTTTTTGACTAGCCTGATTCATTAGAAAATAAGAGTACAGGTCCACGACAAGCTTGTCAGGCGTTCCAGGCTTTTCTGGCTTTTAATAATAATAGATTGGCGCTTACACATATGTTAGTGTTTGGCCGAGCTTCTCCTCCGACTTGTGGCGTGCGCCTTGATTTGTCACACAAAGCGGAGGGACCTACAGTTTTACGCCTCCTCCGAACTGCGATTGTATTTTTATGAGAAGCTGTTTTTCATGGCAGAAATACACTCGGAGGTTTGCCATTGCCTGCCGAGGGACGACCGCTGTTAAGAAAAAACCTTTTTCTATACTTTTTTTGCGATGTTGCTTTGACCAGGGCTTGAACCCAGGTGCTGATGAGTGAAAGCGCGCACTGCTTACCACTACACCACAGCGGCCGAGCTCTTTTAAGCTTTCTATATATTTGGCATAGGCGCGTGCAGAGTAAAAAGTCTATGTGCCCTTCGCTGGTCTAAAGTCATCTGTGTCGTAGACCAGCGATGGGCAGAGAGAGCTTTTACTCTTCACTAGCCTATACAAAATATATAGAAAGCTTAAAAGAGCTTTGCCCGCGGGCAAGGCGGTACCCATCACCGTCGTAGACGTATGAAACCGACAGTTGAGTACATTAGACTGTGTTTATACACGGAAACTTTAGTCGACGCGATTTTTCACATTCCCTTTTGGTGTTGCTCGTTTCATTTACACACGGCGACTTCTTTGTATGCAATTGTTGTTGTCAGCTTTGAACCGCTAACTCCATTTACACAGACGAACGAGAGCACAAAGCGTGTTTGCCCGAGCACGAGCAACTCGGTGCCTCTCTACTTTCCTCGTCACGCTCTCTCCTACAAACGTCGAGTTGTCGCAACAAAATTCGCCGTGTGTAAATGAGGACTTATGTGATGTGATGTCCATGGAGAACGTATGGTGGAGAATGCAAAATACGCTAAGCATGAGTTGCCGCTTTGCACGAAAATTATTACACTTTTCACGTTTTGTAAGCACGACACAACAACAATACGGTGACAGGACAGGGTCTACGTAACCGGAACGACGCAGATCTATATCTGGCCTTGGACTGTAGTTGTTGTTTAAACAGCATACAAATCCCCCAAAGAGTTTTTGAGGAGTGTTGCTGTAGTGACAGTCCTTGACCAGATATGAATCTGGGTCGTTCCGGATAAGTAAACCCGACTGTCGTAGGAACGGCAATGGTTTGCCAAAGGTTATTTGATGTAGGTTTGGATCTCATCCATCAGTTCATTTAGATACCGGCTCAGGCTGAAATAGATGTCGGCTTAGATGCTGTAGACGGAAAAGCCGATATAGTCGACTGATATTTAAAAAGATTAATGTAAATGGCCAAGTGTTTGGCCGAGCTATGCCTACAATTTAGAGTGTACCGACAATTACATTTTTAGAGGTTGTTTCGAACCTTGGTGCCACCGAGTGGACCAGTAACACTTCGGCTGCGGATATTTACTTTTTACTGATATGTGCATAACTGTAAAATGTTTCGAGCTTGACAATGCTTGGAGACGAACCATCATACCCTGATTTTCTCGAATGGTGGATGACGAGAAGGACTGGCGCGATCCACAGACTATTTTGAGCCGTTCAGCCCAGATTCTCGGGAGAAACTCATATTCCTACCGGAACGACTCGGGTTTTACCCCGACTAAGGGCTGTTGTTTCGGCAATCTAACCCCGTTTAGGTCGGCTATTAGGCTATCATCTTTTGCCTGTATCCTTATTTTAGTAATGTACTTTTATTTCTAAAATATGGCCACCGTACCCATGCCGAGAGTAAATATGTTTACGCATCTAATGCAGCGTTTTTGCTGCATTTAAAATGCAGCATTTAGCACCTTCGAACATATGTTTTCGAAGAGCGTTCATGCTATAGCATTTAGCAAATGTACATTTACGCGAGTTCGAAATCGTATGCTTTTGACAAACAGCCGTGTTCCAGTCTCTTATTTAGATCCGTATATATTACCCTGCAAAAATCGCGACTACTCCATGCATGCATGTAAAGAGTACTCCCGAAGGACCAAGGAGTACTCCAAAATTAACCACAATTCATATAAAAAATATGGTCCAATTAACATTGCGATGTCCTAGGGCAGGACCATATACTCCATCCCTGCATTACATCAGAGTAGCACAAAACTACTCCAACATTTTAACAATGGCATTGTTGTTATATTTTTTCGTTTGTACACGCTTTTGTTCTTCACTTCTCATATGCTTTTTCGAAATTAATAAAACCCAAGACAAAAATTAAAAATTACATGTTGCCTCTGACGGCATTTGAACCCGAACATGCTGGGAGCTCACAACTAACAGCGAGCATTTCTACACGTTCAGCTACGGCCAGACATGCAAATGTGCTTTCAAATGCTCAACTTCAATCACATTTCGTTAAAACACGAGCAGTTATCGGGTAACAAACAATAAGCTGGCGCAGAGACACGAGTTGGTCCGCTACAGCATGACAGAGGAGCACTTTTGTGAGTACTCCAATATACCACAAATAGACTACATGGTCCAACGATTTTTGCAGGGTACGATCAATTCTCACGCAGAAGAAAATCTGCAAAAATCCTACTGAAAAGGAAAAAATAAAATTTAAACCAAAAATTCAATACAAAAACTTGAATTGTTATAACCATAACCAACCATTTGTTTGTGTATATATTCATTTGTCGGTGCTGTCAATTAAAATTTCCTCACTTAAATAGGAACCAAACCAAACAGAGTTGATCACAAATTGATCCAGATTTATATCAGCATCACATCGATGTTGAATTTGCTTAACTTTTCTTTATCCAAATATGTAATGTAAAATAAAAGAAATCTCGATCGGCGATCACTGAAACGCAGCTAGCAACTGTATACTCGAAAAAGCAATGTTGCCACTTTTTCTCTTTAAACCATGTTCGAATCGTGGAAATTTTGGAAGATCACAGGGTTGCTTTTAGCATTTAGATTCTTAATGCAAAAATGGAGTTGCATTTAGTTGCATTTAGGTTACGAATTTTGTATGGATAAATGTACATTTAGAGTAGCATTTAGAGCTAAATGCGCTAAATGTGCTTTTACGCGTAAGCAAAAACAGCCCATAAAATCATGTTAAAATATAATAAGTGGGTTTTTATGTTTATTATTACATCAAATACACACAAACATAAATACATACAGATATATGTAATGCTTAATTTGGAGTTAATTAATATACCTATATGGCATAAGTACATACATATGTATGTACGACTGTGTCTTATTTTGATCAACTGAACAACAAAAACAAAGAACATTTTATTGGCATCAATAAAAATCCGATAGTTTTGCCACACATCTACGCAGATATTTAAATATTCTGAAAGGAAATCTAATTTTGAGTGTCCACATACATTTGCTATCACTGCTTCTGTACTCTACTTGCTGTCTTTTATATCTTCGGCCGCCTTTTTGTTAAAAATTTGCGGTGTCTTGAAGCCACGGAAACTTTTGCGCAGTGAGTTGGTCACGCGCTTCTTGTAGCTCGTACTAGTGCTGGTCACTGAAATTTTGTCATCTGGCACAAACCGCCGATCCAGTCTACGCAAACTGCCTGCTGCCTCATCTGTTGAATTGCTTTCATCGGAATTGTTTTTCAAAAATTTTCTATTGAAATGTAATTGTGGTGTACCCCATTTCTTTGCTATGAAAGCTTCAAATTCCGGATCACTTTCGGAGCCGCTTTCATTACTGGAAAATTTTCCATTGTAAATGTTTTTAACTTTGACCTGCTCACCTTCAGTCTCACTCACGCCTTCCGTCGCTGGTGCGCCACCACTGCGCGGTGTGGCAGCGGTCGAGTTGTCCGCATAGGGTATATCGTCCAGTTTGCGCGTAACAATCACCTCTGCAGGCACACTCTTCAGATTGACACCTTCGATTTGTGTCTGCTGGAAGTCTGTTGGATGTACGCCAGAGTTGGGGCTGTTACGCTGCGAGCTTCTCACTTTACGTGGCGTTTTTATTTCCACAATGCGAACGCGGTAATGTAGTAACTGGAGTCGAATAAAAGAGGGTATTTTGGATTAGGTTTGAAAAACGATAATATTTTTAACGATTGCTCACCCTATCTTCATCGATGAATTTCGCCAGATCTGTTAGTGGCATACTAATGCAGGTGCCCTCCGCCAAGATGTCATTATCATATTCACTATGCACTGGATACTTCTGTGTTATGGCAATGGCTTCATTTTCCCGATGCACAATAGTCACCTCGAAAGCATAGTTGTGTTTCTTCTCCTTCACAGTCGATGTGCAGGCCATAGTGAAAAGAATGCGTTCCTTGTCGTAGACTTCATAGAAATTAAACATCTCATCGAAGACAATGAAAACATAATATCCAGTCAATGGCTTCTGCTTTACGCCCATATTCCAAATCATATCCGTGATCTCTGTGTGGAATACCTTGTCGGCATGTTCGTTCTCCAAATGCTCCTTCCAGTGAGCCTCTCGCCCATTCCACTCACAATCGCCCCATACACGACCCATAAAGCATTTCATTGGCTTGTAGATGCATTGCTTCTCGTGCCAGCTCAAAAGTTCAATTTGTAAGCGTACAGTACAACCTCCGGAGGCATTCGAGCAGCGGAAATGCGCCTTGGAGCATAGCGCTTCCACGGTGAGAGAGCGTATGTTGGTGAAGGGTTCCTGCAGGACGAAGAGGAAACGTTAACTTTACATTAAACTTCGTTTTTAGTTTTTCTCTCAGGATGTTTCTTGAAAGGACTTTGAAATTTGAATGGATAAAAAAATTATTTAGAATAACAATATGGCTAACAAATGAATGAGAAAGTTCTGTAGAATTTGAAACCAACCATTTTTTTGTGAACAAGTACCGATAGTTATAGAAAATGCCCTTTTAAAATTTTATTGTTAAATATCCTTGAAAGTTTCCAATATTGGTTTTTGAAAAAAAATATACATACATATTTATGTACACTGGCACATCCTCGAATTTCAACCTTCTAGCTTTATTAGTTGAAAACAAATAAAAAAATGAATTATACGGTTATTTTTAATACCCATTCGTTTTTGTGAACCATAAAAGTTTGAATATCATAAATCTACAGAATTTTCTGTCATTCGGTACCCATATTGTTATTTTACTAATGGCCGTTTTTTTAAGTAAGTTTTAAAATTTATCTGCCTTTTACAGCCAATTTCACGAAAGAAAATTTAATGACAAATTTAAATTCGCAGGGAAGTAAAAAATCATTTTTCATTTAAATTGCGGGTGAAACCGGGCTCAAGGCGAATTTATACAAGGTGGTGTTAACAGAACAAAAACAAAAATTATAGAAACAAACTATACGCTCCTTGACAATTAGTACAAAGCCAAATTACAACAAACACATGATTTTGACAAAAGGTACAAATTCGCCGTGCAATCAGCGGATCCAATAACACCACCTTGTATAGATTCGCCTTGACCGGGCTGTTAAACACAAAATTTGTTCTGAAAGAAGTAATTTTTAAGCAAAAACAAAATCGACATCAATTCTCACAAAAAAATTTAAGACTACCGTTAATTTCTTTATGATCCAATAAAAATCAGTTAACGTGGTCCAAAGTTATGCGATAAAATACATAAAAAGAATATATTCCGACGAATTGATAACTTTCTCCTTTTTCTGAAGTCCGTTAAAAATGGACAGAGACATTTTAAAACCAATTTACATGAGAAAACGGCACTAAATTGCACTGATTTTTTAAATAATTTGTTGAAATAATTTGAACGTTGAAATTGCTAAGACTTTTTAAAAAAATCCTGACGGCATAAAGGAAAACTAGAAACGATATTTTGTTTATATTTGGGCCCTAGTTTCGTGATTATATTGATTTTTTCGTGTACGTATTTTTAAATTTTTTGGATTTTGTCGCACGGTTTCAATTAAAAAGTATTTATTAGGTAAATGTTCAAGTGTCCATTTTGATGTCAGAGATAATGTGTTTCTATAGAATCAAATAAAAACTTCGACCTTGAACACATTTCTCTTTCGTTGTAGTTATACATAATAGATAAATTAAAAATAAAATATATATATACATACATACATACGTACCTATATATTCGAAAATTGATTAAGTCTGAAAGTGGACACTACATTTAAAAAAAAATTGCATTATTGTGTGCGAAGATTAGATTGTAGTTATAAACATCCATACATATAAACTACATACATATGTACATATGTTTGTATATATGTACATATCGAACCCTAACAGTTGAAAAAATATAAGCGACTTTTTTCACATTTTTTTTTATTTTGATGCAGAAATGTTCCTAGAGCATCTAGATGCTATTCTGCAGCAGACCAATCACAGTCATAGTCTTACGTCCTCTCTGAAGAGAATTAGAGACGGGCATATTAGGAATAGTTTCCTTAATGGAAACGCTTTTTGCATACCAATATGCCAGTAAATCTACTATCCATACTCTTCAGAGTCTCACAAGGAAAATTGAGAAGTCTTTGGAGAACGAAGAGGTGGCGGTGGGATGTTTCTTGGACGTGGCGGGCGCTTCCGATAACATGGAACACTCTCTAATAGACATGCCGCTGGATAGCAAACGTCCTTAAAACCCGAAACCATTCCATCAACTCTATTTAGGATAGCAAAGAGTCAGATTTTTAGCTACGAATGGTTGCCCGCAGGGGGAGTGATCTGCCCTCTGCTATTGTCCAACGTAGTAGAAGAACTAGTGAAAATAGGTTCGACGTTGAGGGCTTTGCGGGCAGCAAGAATCAGAAAGTAGATTCGAAGACGCTATCTCCAACCTCCTACAGAATGCTCTGAGCATTGCCGACAAATGGTGCAGTAATAATGAGTTAAACAAAAACCTCAAAAAGACTAGTATAGTCATTTTCACCAGGAAAAGGGACAAATTACTAGAACCATTTCTTCACGGAGAAAGGATACACTTCTCCAAAGAGCTCAAATACTTTGGAGTTATCCTTGATGACAAGTTCTTATGGAATCCTAACCTAGACAAAACTATTCAAAACACCAAGGCCTCTTTCTTGACCCGCCTGAAACTAATGGCGGAACTGGGGCATCAGACCTAAACTGGCAAGGTGTTTGTATGATACCACCTCCAAACCGATTCTAGCTTATGCTCCATCCGTCTGGTGGAAGAATGCAGAAATGAAGACCACGCTGGTCAAGCTCAGAAAACTACAACTAGTTACTAGCGCACCAAACGCGGCACTCGAGCGCTTTTTGACATTCCTCTTCTACATCTTGTAATCAAGAAAGTGGCTCCACTGTTCACAGCAAAGCTCATCTCATGGAACAAAAATATGGGCTGCGCATTAGCTTTGTTGACCTGTGCCTTCTGGGATTTAACTTTACACAAAACTTTAAGGTATTTTTCCTCGACAGGAACAACGGACGCTCCTCGCTCTTAGAGCGCACGAGGTCCCCTCAAATCTGGTGTGGGAATGCCTTCAAATTTTAATACTTATCGCCTCCACGAACCGAGTATACCTCATATGGGTGCCAGGACACAGTGAAGTCCTGGGGAAAGAAGTGGCAGATATTTTCACCAGAAATGGGCTACATAGCGATTCATAGGCCTAGGACCCTTTACCAGTCTGCCGTGGAGCTCCACTAGGAGAAACTATGTATATCTGGATGAAGAGGCCAATAATACTGGACAACTGCGGAAGGTAACAGTTAGAGCTACATCCTTCATTCCGGATATTTCAACAAGGGGAACCGAAGAACTCCTTCACATCAGTAGGCATGAAGAACAGGAGCACTTTTTGTGCCACTGTGAAGCCCTCACTAGAACCAGACTTCCCTTTCTAGGAGCACACGACCTAAAAGGCATTCAGCCAAAGGATCTCGCGAGTGCTCTTAGCAATACGTGGATTAGAACGTTTCGGTAGTGGCAACTAGTAGACCTTATCCTTTCTCTAAATCTAATCTATTTTAAATGTCAATAACTTTGCGAAAAATATAGAATTTAATGGGATAACAATGGAATCTATTTTTTTCGAATAAAAAAGTAGCCAATTATGCGCAACTTAACGCCAAGAGTTCAATCAATAAATATTGAAAATAGTAATTAATACTTGAGTTTTATTTTTTTGATCATAGGAAATTATTATTGCTTCATTTTTATTTTTTCGGTTAAAGTTAATGATTATTTTATGATTTTTATTTTTTCGCATAAAGACAAAAATTATTATTTAGTCTCGATTCTTCACTCAAGAATAGTGATCATTCAAAAAGTTCAAAAGCATTACCAGCGTGATTTCCGACGTATACTTTTCAGAGGTAGCAACACCCTAATAAAAAGAACAAGTCCCAAAATTTCCAGGTCAAAATTTCAGTTGGTTGCGACTGTTTGGCCTTTTAAATTTTATAAATAATCATTATTTTTAAATGGAAAAATAAAACTTAATAATAATTATTATCTCTGAGCGAAAAAATAAAAACTTAAAAACTAATCATTATTTGTGATCGAAAAATATAAAAATCAAATAATAATTATTTCCGTTGAGCGAAAAAATAAAATTCAATAATAATTATTATTTTTAAACGAAAAAAGTAAAAATTATAAAATAATGATTAAATGCTGATTTAAATTATTTTACTTATAATGATTACCGTCCCCGTTTTTTTTTTTTGAAAGTAATAAATAGAGTATGTACACAACGGGTAACAGGGTAGTGCGTTTTTTTTTTAATGATGTTTCTTCGCTCTACAGTAAAATTTTACTAAAAGGAGTTAGTAGCTTTTAAATTCCAAATTTCTCTGAGCCATAAAAATGACCAAAGTCTTCATTCATTCTATTTCTGACTTGTTAAGATACCTGACTTCATCTATGCCATATGCAGGTACATATGTACGTATGTATGTCCATTTTAATCACAAATGAAGAAAATCACAGAAACTTTGATAATACGGTAAGCACTGACGTCAAACTACTAATAAATACGATAGCTGCATTCACTTAAATTACTTTTATAAAATATATATTGACAAGCAAATTAGTTATCGTCAAAGGCAAAAAAATAGATAATAACAAAAAAAAAAAGAAAAAAAAAATGAATAAGATGGGTTAGAAACAGTAAGTTTGAGGGCTACTTGCTTGGTAGTCTAGTATTTTTATAAGATTTTGCTATGTAGTAAGCACCATCAACTACACTTATACATACATACATACCTTACACAGCGGACAGAGTAAGAGTACCCTTGTGCACTGCTGACATATGCTGTGTCCAGTCTTGCAGAGTAAAATTGGCGTCTTCATCGGATATGCGCAACCGGGACATTTAAGTTCCTCAATCAGACGTTCGTAGTGATTGACCGAAATCTGTTTGGGCGCTTCCGGCGACAGCGAAACCGGTCGCTCCACTACTCGACGCAACGTTGGCACTGTATCCTCTCTCAGCTGTACGGTCGCCACTTTGATCGGTTCGGGCAGCAAAGCGCTGGTAATCAAAGTAGGTGCCAAAGTGATTTTTGGCGACGAGTCGCCTGAACGGGCTATTGGTGTTGTCGGTGTTAGGGTGCCCGATGGTGTGGGTGTAGCGATTGGTGCAAGCGGCCGACCGCTAGCGATTGCTGTTGCAGTTCCTGTACCCGGCGGCGCTGTTGGTGTAGAAGGCGTTGAAGGCACCGATGTGGCAGAGTACGATCTCTGATCGCCAATACCAATGCTGCGTGTACGGCTCAGCATAGGCGGTTTGGGTGGCGGTGAACCGGGCGTACGCGGTAGTGTAGCGTATTTAGCAGCCGGAAATGTAGTAGCTGTTGTCTTTGAAAGCCCATTGACATTGATTTCACTAAGGCCGCCCACCTTTTTGCCATCAACATGCTTCTCCTGCTCTTCGCGTGTATGTGTACGGCTTTCGCTGACAACCGTTTCGGCGCCATTAATCGACTGAGTTTTGGTTTCAGTTTCGGTTTTTTCATCGATCGTATACTCGCTGATTGTGTTGTTGAGGAAGAGCCGCCGTTTCTCATTGATCTTCTCGATATTCTTTATATGACCGATTATTTTCAGATCCTCGCTGTAATCGTTGCACAAATTGTTTCGGGTAGCATTGGTGGCGGTGGTGGTGGTGGTGGGGGTGGTGTTGCTGGCTGATAGTGGTTGTGTAGTTGACGATTCCGCTTTTTTGCTGGTGCTAGCAACTGGACTGTGCGGACTACCGTTTGGTCCGTTGGTGTCCGCTGCCTTTTTCGCCTCACCGGTTTTCGTTGGCTTGGTGTCTTCTGTGTTCTCTGCCTTGGGTATGTTGTGGTCACTGCTGCGATTGATGATTACTTTGGTGTTGTTGCTGCTGCTGGAAGTACTGGTGGTATTAGTGAAACTTGAAGTAGACACTACACTCGCCAAAGCTTTGGCCTCGCTGGCGTTAAGATCGCCGGTAATTAGCACACGTTCGTGAAAAACATTCATTTTTGTTTTTAAATATTTTTTTTTTAGTTCTTAGAATTACATACAACTACAAATTTACTTGAATGCTGTTTTATTCTTCAAATTTTGATTTACGGTAATTACGAATAATTTGGATATAAATACCGCACTCCTACTGCTCTGTTGGCAAAGTGAATTTTAAATTGTCGCTTCGATTAAGTTTTCTGCTACAAATTTAAGTTGAAACCAGCACAATCGAACATTTTTTCTTACTTTTTAATATTCTTTATCTCTGAGGTATCTTATCAAATGCGGGTTGGGAACATAGTTACCGGCAAGACAACTCCCCACCACAATCTCCGATACCAACACACCGAGGTTGGAGAGTGTCAACGGCAGGCAATCAATATCAATTTGAGTAAACATCAATGATATTAACTAGAATGAGCTCCAAGTGCATTGTAGCTGCTCGAACATACCGATAAGAATACCTTATACTCCCTCGGAGAGGATAGCGACAAAAAAGCTTTAAAGCCTATAAACTAACGGCCGCCGACAACCGGTAGACAATGTGGCATGATGAAGAGCTATTCAATGTCAAAAAGCTTTATCACCACGCTGAAGTGTTAAATAAACGTGCAAACAATATTGTGTAACTTATGCTGAAAAATTCGAAAAGCTATGGAATGATTTATGTGGTACGCCAATTTGATCGGGAAATTCTTACATAAGTAAATTTATGTAAACCGGTGATGGGCACTGCCTTGCCCGCGGGCAAAACTCTTTTAAGCTTTCTATACATTTTTCATAGGCGCATGCAGAGTAAAAGCTCTCTCTGCTCTTTGCTTATGTAAACTAATCTAAAATGAATTAGTCACAACAGCTTTAACACTAGGGGTATTCTCTGAGTCTTGCAAAGCCCTTGCATGGTGCACAGATTGCACGGATTGCACGGTAAAAACCGGTTTTCGTATGGGACAGCTTTGCAAACCATGCAATCCGTGCACCGTGCAAGGGCTTTGCAAGACTCAGAGAATACCCCTAATATTTTCCTAAAGCGAAGGGGATTTTATGCTTTGTGATGATAAAGGGTGTTAGTATACAGAACTACTATTGGGTAAATAAGAACTTCTTCCCACTAGAACTTGAAGGGGGGAACTCCCCATGTGAGGAATAAAAGAGTCCCCCCTGTGTTCTGATTTCTGAGCAATAAGCGAGATTTGTCGATTTTGTACTCCTATTACTATTACTAGCTTAGGAACAAACAGCGATGTCTCCCAAATCGAGAAATCCAAGAGTATTCCCATGAACCAAAAATACAAGATCACCTAATCAAAGAAGCAAGAAAAAAGTATATTTCTGAGTGTTTTTGACATCTGCCTAAGAATGAAAACAAACAAAGAAAACGAAAAAGGCGCGGTGATTGAGTGCGATTAAATTGGTATTTATTATAAAATATACAAAGTGAAACTTGATGACAATTAGCAAAAAAAGTTCATAAAATATGGTTTTCATGATTTAAAGTGTTTTACAATCGCATATCATTACCACGGGTCGATTTTTCAATGCCAACGTTCTACCACAAACGTGCACCCACTTTTCACGCAAATTTACGCCTTTTGGCAAACCAAACATACGCACAAACTTGTTTCGATCACACAGCACTTTATTTTATATCATAAATATGTAATAAACCAAAATTTATAATTAAAATCGCTGCAGAAAACACATTCAACCGCTAAAAAATCACTACGAAGAGGTAGAAGACGGTGTAAACAAAACCGAAAAACGTCAAAAACGCTACGAAAACTTTTTTCTGAAAATCGATTACAAATACAACGATGGCTGATTAGGTGATCTGTAGTCGTTGGTTCATGAGAGTATTCCTTTAAATGGACTGGGGAGGTACATACATACGTAGTATAGCAGCTCGCTAAAGAGAAAATTTGTCTTATTGAAAAAATAAAAGCAGGTCGCAAACAATTAAATGGGAAAGCCAAAGTTAAATCCGTCGGTATGTACATATGACAACCTTTTTTAAACTTATAAATGTCAGTACTTAAGATGTCTAAGTTCTTATCTTGTCCCGTCGAGAACTTTTACTGGGTATCGGAAGGAAAGAGTCACCTTTACCATTAAAGGCTGGTAAATGCCTTGCAATATTAGTTTTTGTTCCGTTGGGTATTAAAGGAATCGCCTAAAGACACCCAAGTCTGAATTAGCTGCTAAGAGAATTCCTGGCTGACATCGGCCGGAAGTTTAACCAACTTGAAGCATTTGGTCAGAGTAGCTGGAGTTAGACCTAAGAGGGCAATTTTTTAATGAAAAAATGGCATCGGTGTCCAAGTCGACAACCATAATAGGACCGAATATTTTTATAAGAAATTTACCAGGCCGAGTGGCCCTAGACTGGAACTTACAGTTCCCTTGAGGACTTTCGCAAGCATCTTCCAACCGGAAGTCTATGCAATCAGTCTATGCGCAGAGATTAACCTTCGTTGAGATTACCGAAGTGGGAGGATACTTATTCCAAGCGATAGTCAGGCGGAACTTATGGCTATCTCATCCTTCGAGGTCAAATCCTCTTTGGCCTTGGAGTGCATCGAGAAGCTTAATGCCCTTGCTGAGCACAATACAATCCAGCTAAATATGGGTACCAGGGCACATGGTTGTCGAAGGAAATGAAGAGGCCGAACAACCGCTGGACCGGACCTCTACCATGCGAGGGGTCTCAGTACGATAAAGGAGCCGCTCAGGAAGGAAAACAACAAACTGAGGGAACTGCATTGGCGAAACATCACGAGACTTCGTCAAGTCAAGAGCTTATTAGGGGTACATACATACATTACCTGCCTCCGGCATCCATTCTAAAATTCATAGTCTCTGGGGCTGGATTCAGTGTTGTGATAAGTTCGTCGCAGTGCTTACCCTACTCATCTTATAGTGGTGCTAATGACAGTGAATAAAGAGTTTATGGATTTATGAAAAATAAACCACACATCGTCAAATATGATTACTTCACGCTAAGCAAAACAAATACTAAAGATTATTATGAAGAGCATTTTGTTACATTTGAAAAGTGCTTAGTAGCAGTATCTACTGATAATAGGGATGCTCATTTTAGTAGCGCAATATCGAAACACCGACTTTTTTGCAATATCAAAACGAAATTGAGCAAATGTGAATTAGCCGGTAAGAAAACCTTCTGTACACTGAAAAGTGAGATAAATAAATAAATAATGATACATCCAGTGACGCCCCTACTGATATCCCTGACGGTATACTTATTGATATATCGCACTTCAATCGTACCCCTAATGGTATTTATAATGGCACTCCCACTGGCGTCCCGGATGATACCCTTACTGGTATCTCGAGTGCCCATTCAAGAGGATGACTGCTTGTCTTCATTACATGCCAGCAAACCCCCAAACCTTTTTTCTGTAGACAAATAACTAACTAAAGATAAAGTTTAAATTTTATGCCATTTAATGTAGAGTGGAAGACCGAAATAATGTTTTGACCAAGATTTTTGTGGATGTACAATCGCTTTTTCAGTATGTTGACGGACAATTATGTAATACGTGAATTTCGGTCTCGAAAATCGTTGAAACGTTTACATCTCTAGCTTGCAAACGCTATGCAGGGACTAGATAGTTTCTACACTCTACAACAAAATATTAACTTCTCGGGACTCGCACGTAATACAAAGACACACACTTGCAAATGCATGGCAGCTAAAGGAGAAGGCCCACTTCAAGCAGCCGTTCGAGCGTTCACCACAAATAAATTACGAGCTAAATGAATCATTTTCTATCTTACGCTTCTAAAAAGCTCTCGAAGAGCGGGTCTGGAGGAATGTAGTCCCACATATGATCGCAGGAAACTTTTTCTGATCTGCATGTATCAAAAACTGTTATAATATTTTTTAAATTCGGTTGGATGATTAATTTAATTTGTGGTTATAAAAAACGCCGCATGACGCCGCTTTTAAGGGAGGCAGGCTTAGCAAGATATTTTATATATGTAGATAAGTTCGATCCGATCTTTTTTGGTCCACTCTGTGATGAATTTTGTGTAAAAATCTTGTGTCCTTAACAAAAATTTGGATTACATCTCTATTAAAGAATTCGATGGAAATATTATCGTCTGTACAACCAGGTTTCGCCAAGGGTTTATTTTTAACGAAAAAAGTCGCATTCTATATTTTACTCAACCCTTAATGTTCTATTATAGGGTATTCCAAGAAGAAAAGGGTAAAGTGGGATGAAGTGACCGCCTGGGAAAATTCAAGGCGGCTCTAGCTGGCTCAAGAAAGATTCTCTAACAGTCTATGTGTGACCGGAAACATTTTGTGATCTCAGTTGACTTTCTTCCAGGCACATAAATACTGAGTACCTTGAGAATATTCTGTGGGATGGTTTGGCTTTGGTCAATCAAAGATTCGTGCATTTAAATGTTCTTCTAGTACTTATTAGAGTATCTGAAGGCATCTTAAAGCATAAACAGACGGCAGCGTTCATCCGGATCAACTCGGGAATTAACTGTAGTTGATCTGGATTAAGTCCGAGATAAACGCTGTCGTCTGTTTAAGCTTTTAGGTGTAAAAGACTATTGACTCTTTTAAGGTACACAAAAGCTCTTTAAGCACGCAGTCTCACCTCTCTCTGCTATACCTAATTCTTTAAATAACTAACTAGTCTTAAGTTCACAGACATAAGAACCCTTAAGCTTTGGAGAAAAATTAAAACACTAATTTAAAAAAAATTTAAATTGCTAATTTCAGATGCTTGGAAGTTTAACAGTTACACGATAAAGTGAAATATATCTTTACTTTGTACGTATCAAACTATTTTACTTTGTAGAACAGTGTTTTTCGGTGCATTGCTAATTGTTTAGAGTGTAAATAGGTTTTTCAAAGCAATGTGCGCTCTTAATCAGATATAAACATATATATATATGTGTGAATGTATTGCATGGAAAATATTTAGTTTGCGGCGTTTTGCCTAAAATGCGCTGGAGTAGTGATTCGCCGACCAGCAACGATGGCAGCAGCACAGAAAGCGCGTCATATTTTAAAACTTTCTACACAGGAGCAAAAGGCTTTTGTCGACTCTTTTGATGTGGTGATGTGTGATTGTGATGGCGTGATGTGGATGATCACTACACCACTACCTGGAACTGGTGACGCCGTGAATTCACTAAAGGCGGACGGTAAGCAGGTGCTGTTCGTGACAAATAATAGCATGCGATCGGATGAGGAATATGTAAACAAATTTACTGATATCGGCGTAAAGGATTTTCAAAAGGTTATACTGAATTCGAAAATGGTTGTATTTTTGTGTAAAAGTCATATTAAATTCTGTATTTATACATCCTAGGATGATCTTATACAACCAGCCAAGTCTATGTTATACTATTTGAAAAAGTACAACATCAAGCAGCCGGTATTTTCATTGTGCAGCGACCCCGCCAATGAAATAATTCGAAATGGGGGCATAGAAGTGATCACACTGGTACGTACATACATATAAACAATCGTAATAATCCTATACACGTATGTATATATTTATATGTAAGCAGATAGATACATACCTGTGTCTATATAATAATAATAGTTAATACATATAACAGATTTGAGCTTCTCCTCTGGTTTGTGGCGTGTGCCTCGATGTTGTCATACAAAGGGGAGGGACCTACAAATTTACGCCGATGCCGAACGGCGATTGTATTTTTAAGCGAAGATGTTTTTCATGGCAGAAACCCATTCGGGGGTTTGCCATTCCCTGCCTAAGATGGATCGTTATTAGAAAAAAATGCTTATCTTTTTTTATGTTAGTTGGAAACTGGACTCGATCCCAGACCCTGAGAAATGGTAGTGCGCACTTCTAACTACTACAGCACAGCGATCATACAGCGGCCGCTTATGTAATTCTACATCGTGCAATGCTGAGTTATGCAGCACTATTGGAAAATATTCACCAGCATCTTAGCTGAAGTGTTCGCAACCCTTAAGACTGGAGTTAGTCAGCCTCATTGCGAGAGTCGTGTCGAATGCAAGTCGATTTTCGAGAGTCGAATCGTATCGAAAATTTCATATCATTGCCTAAAATTTCGACTCGACTAGTGTATTAAAACGGAAAAACATGGCAGCACTGCATAGTTGTCGAGTCTTACAATATAGTCTAATTTAAGACTTACGCAATAAGGCTGAATGTTTCCTTTTTGGTTGTTGTTGTTTCCGACAGGGTGGGTGTATGATGTATTATGGAACGAATTTCCGTCATCCCTTGTCAAATTTGGTTTGGAGACAAACCGGTTTCGGCGTTGTGCCATCTTCAGTGTCATTTTTCGTTCTGCATAATTTTTGTTGGTTGCTCGTATTTATACTCCTTGTTAACTACCTCTTTCTTTTGTTAGGTACGTCTTTTTAGTTTTGCAGTGTTTGCGGTACTCAATAGGTAGATGAATTGTTTTGGCTCGTTTTTGACGGCAGGTAGAAGTCCGTGATTTTTACCCCCTTTG